CCACTCCGCTACTATGGAGATCGAATCCCCCGAACCCGCGAATCTTGTTCGATATGACGTCATTCGAATAGAGCGGGCGTTCGATCTGGGGTTACCCGCGGTCATTTACAGTAAAGCCGCTACAACCGGCTACTTCAAGCCCTTTTTTACTTGGGAACCACGGAACAGGAAAATCCACCTTTCCACAAATATGAACCGTTTTCAAAACATTACATCTATGCCGTGATTTTATTGTGGATATGTAACATGTAACGAAGCTACTGCCGTCATCGTGGGTGACCTTGAAGGTCAGAATTCTTGTTGACGCTGTTATAAAATCCAGGTCCCCATATCCAAGTGGCACAGCATGCGTGCAAACATGGTATTTTAACCATTCCCAAAAATCGTTCAAATTACCTCATTGAGGTCTTCTTTGGAAGAGCAACGATTTCCGCAGATTTCTGTCTTAGGGATTTTTTAAATATGGCCGCGATTATGAATTATCGGTATTTAAAGTTAAAACACTGCGTTTTTAGCTCTTCTTTTGACTGTAAGTCGAGTTTTAGTTAAAAAATAAAAAAAATCCTAAGACAGAAAGTTTAAATTTAGTGTAATATTTCTAAAAATCCAAAAATCTAACCTTATTTTTAATTTTCGGGGCCTCTTAAAATCAGTTGTTTGGTTCTCGTGAACCCTTTTTGAAATCCGAAATTGATCTCATTTGGAAGCAAATGTACACAAAGTGGAGCAAAGGCAGTGCAAGAATAACATTTGAGGTAAACAAAATCACTTATTACATTTTATTTTGACGAGTATTTACTCTCCAATTACTTTTGTTTATTTTCAAATTTTACCCGTTACCCCCGGGCCGGCCCGGGACTCCCGCGCGGCCACGTTCGAACGCGTTCTGTAACCCGATACCTCCCTAGTAATGCGACTTTTAGCCTAGCAACCGACCGCCGTGCATATTTGTCATGATGCAACATTCAGTTCTTTTTTACTTTAACTTTAACCCAATGTCACTATGAACCCAGGTAGGTCTGAGTCCGCTCTGAAAGTCAAGAGGAATGCGAAGCTGTGGAACAATGTCGGGCACGCGCAAAAGAACCAGGACAGACACACAGAGGCGCTATTAATACTATTTCCTGCGATCTGCTGGGTAGGTTTTGTTGTATATGTAAGTAGAATTGAGTGTTCTAGAGATTGATAGACTGGAAATAGTTCCTCCTAGCATGCGCGAGACCATTTAGACTGCCAAGTTGACCTTAATCTGAAGTATTTACAAAATCTGCTCACCTTCCTGCCTCTCTACTGTAGTCAAATATCTACAAAACTTGTACATGTGTATACTAGTAGGCAAACACACACAGACACTCACACACACACACACACACTCACACACGCACGCACACACACACACACTCACACACACACACACACACACACACACTCACACGCACGCCAACACATGCACGCACGCACGCACACACTCACACGCACACACACGCACGCACGCACGCACACACACACACACACACACACACACACACACACACACACACACCTGCACCAGTTGGTACGTAGGGCAGCACCAACCCCCTGTTTAACAGCCCTTGGGGCACACAGAATCACTATAACAGGGGGCTAGTCCACTGGTAGTGGTCTGTTTTTCACTCAAATACTCTTTCCCAAATGCTGAGTGCTAAGCAGAGAAAGCAGTATGCACCATAATTATAAGTCTTTGGTATGACTCGGCAGGGGATCGAACATACCGAATGCAAGGTGAGCACTAGCTGCCCACTTAGCTATTGCACTGGTTAACAGGTACCAAAGTGGGAAACTCATCGAAAAGATGTACATGCAAATACACTTACAAACACATCCAAAATAACACCTCCATACCCAGAAGAATGTGGTGCAAATAATTCACTGTGCAACGCTTGGTACAAGGTACAAAGAATGGCACGTTTTAGCCACAAAGGTTGTCGGCGATCTATTGACGTCAGGAATCAGACGTCGTGACCATGATCTTTTTGGAGCGCTGTTTTCTGCTCTTTCCACACCGGAAGGCCTGTTTATGATAAGTGCCGGGGGTACGTATAAATTCGCCGTCGGCTAAACATCGGCACCACACCGTCGCCGCTTCACTCACCTGACGCCGCGCTCGACAAACTCCGCCGCGCCGCAGAAATGGCATCCCGCCTGGCCCTGGCCCTTCTCCTCGGGCTCGTCATCGCCGTGCTTCCCGGTAAGTCACGCGCAGTCTTCAGGCAGATTTATTGTTTTGTCTTTTTCCCCTCACCTGGCGTCGAATGGCTGGAGTGGTGCAGCTTTCAGATGGTTCGATTCCTGATACCTCAGTCCACCCAATTGTAAAGTGTGTACCTGATTTCGGTTCCGGAGGTAAAAGGCGGCGAAAGGAGAAGAATGGGCTCCGCCTTTAGATACAGTGGATTAAGAGCCCACCTCTAAAAAAGTTATAGGGTTGCCTTTACCTTCTTTTTGGAATTTTTTAGGAGTACTTGTTGTCGAAACACAAGGGAAAACCTTGTCACTTGAAGTGGAAATGATATATACTGTGGTCGGTATGATAGCGGACAGCGTTAGGTCGAAGACAGCAGTTCTTGAAATGCAAAATGCAACCCGTGCCGTACCGCCACCACTAAATCATACCATATAAGATCTGTCAATCCGTTTTCTTTCTGTTCTTCTTCACGCCTCACTTAGTGTCACAGGTCGCGGTGCAAGTACTAGTGTATACGTTAGTATATTCAGCTTCCTCCTGCTTCTTGGTCAGCTTCTTGGCATAAATGTAGGAAAATTTAAGATGAATCAAAGTTGGTTTGTGGAAAGATGTAAGCAATATAAATTTCTCTCTATTACATGAGCCGAGGAATTTACTAAAAGGTATATTTCTATCGCTATCACATGCAGGACAATCTCCAGTAAAATGTACCTAATCTGTTACCAGATTGGCCGGTCGATTCTCTGCCCAGATGAATCTTCCTGATTCGATTCGATTCGATTTGCACTTTGTGGCGACTGATTCTTGTTTCGTAATGGTGGATCAGTTACGTAAATCTGCAATCTCCATTTATCCTTCTTCATTATAGGAATGTTTCCGTAGTCTGTACGACTATAATTTTTTTTTAATTTGCATTTGCATTTTTACAACTTTGTAATTGAGAATTTCTGATGGAAATATCCTGACGAAATTACGCTTGTATTATTCCGTCCATTGGTCAGGCTTCTAGAAGGCCCAATCAGGTCCAGATTTGTACGAGATTGTGTAATACAGGCAAGGATAGAAAATAAATGCTGCTTTTGAACGGTAAGTTGAAGAATTATAGTATGGCACGCACATATTAAACGATTGATTTGGCGTTTCGCCAGGTGAATCTAGCCGCGATCCTCTATACATGTATATAGAGGCACGCCAGACGCCCAACACTCGATTAGCAAATATACTTGGCATAAAAAACGTCGTCTGCCCGAAGGCTATCAGTAATAAAGGCCCTGATGTAGTCATGTTAGCACGTGCCGAAAAATCCCAATAGAATACTTGATGACATTTAGGGAAACCAGAGGCCTCCAGGTGAACGGAGCACAATCTAATTTTGCCCGTACAAGATGGTATGATATTCTTGGAATATTTAATTTGGTATGATTATGGTATGCCATACAACCCCCTAGGCTGTTCTGTTGAATGTCATTCACAAAAACCTAAAATGCGTATTATCTTCTACTCCAGGAGAGGCGCGAGACGACACTGGGTCCGGAAACTCCGGAGAACTCTTGGTGAGTAGACGTCTTCTATCGCTAGTGTGCCATCAATTAAAAAGGCATCCAATGCAATTTCAGGGTGTCAAAACATGATTTTCAAAGACAATTTTCTTGGGTGTTAGTTGAATCAATCATTTCTCGTGTCATACTTATATCTGTAAGACAAATATGCGACGTCGCTGACGGAAACTGGTGGCTTGTTTTGTATCGTAGGCTGGATCTAGCTATTTATGGTCGGTACCCAAAAAATAAAGCTATATAGCTTGTTTCAGCGCTATTTCAAATGCTTCAAGTATAAAATGATGATTAAATGTGCGAAGAATTGAAAATATCAGTAAATGCCAAGATCAGATGGATTTCCTCATCCAGAATATCTTTTTTTGTCGCCCTGAAATTTCATTGAATGTCTTTAACGACGCCGTTATTGTAGTATTGTTGTATCTTTCAAACACCCCTGGCGCGTTTGTCTACTCGTATACTGAGAATCACAAAAGAAAAAGACGAATCATATGCTCAACATGTCACAGTATGACGTCCCCTCTAGTTTCACATACATATCTATAAATATGCCGAAAAAACTTAATCTTCTACCAAGATCCACATATAATAACTATCAACGAATCTAACTACGAATATAATACATAATTAATATATTCCAATTGCCTCTGTTGTGTATGCTATTGCTGTGTGTTATATTAAGCCCAGTGCTGCCCGAAAAGCCCGTTGTAAGACCGATGAAAAAGTGAAAGTAAAGTGAAACGTTTTTTTTTTAATCTATTTTCCTCCTGACAGGGAACGGAAAGCGACAAGCCTGCACTACTCGACCAGGAAGGGGACATTTCGCGGAGCAAGCGCACTTGGACTCTTCCAGAAGCACGAAAATGTAAGGAACCCAGTGTAACATGTTTAACCTAACCTGATTTCTGTACATCTTTCTTTTTCTCTGTCTCTCTCTGCGTTCTCCTGACTAATGATTCCTGATCTCCTCCTAATTCTGGGAATGGTTCTCTTGAGTTAGGGGTGTATGGCCAATCAGCACTGACAAAGAGGGATGTGTCAAGCCCCTGTCGCACATTCACGAATTTGGCCTCCCGAACACTATAGCTAGCCGAACGCCTGCCAACCATGGTTAGGAGTAGGTCGGCGCGGAGTAGTCGGCTGGCGTTCGCCAAATTCGGCTAGCCTATGGTCCGGCTTTCAAACTGTTTAAAACATTTGTGGGTGTTCGGGAGGGTGGGCCTGGTTCGCTGAAGCAGGTATTCAGGAACGAATTCAGGTGGAGGTCTAACACAGTTAACTTAACGTTTCAGGCCGTAACCAGCCCTGCTGCATGCGGCGGTGCGCGGGGGATTTCTACCCTTTCACCATCGGCATCTACCATCGCAAGGGCGGCGGCCGGGGGAACCACCGCGGGTGCTGGTGCTACCGCCTGCCGTTCTGAGCTGTTCTACGGCCACCCGCAGGCACTGGCCGGTGCCGAACACGGGAAGTATTAACTAAGATACGGAAAAGAACTTCCTAATTCCTCGTCGTACAAAAGTGGTGGAGTACAAATTATATTTGTACTATCAGAAGACGAGTAACAAGGATGGATAAATCAGAATGCAAGCATGATCAATCGGATTTCAAATAGAGATATTGCTGTACTGTTTATGGCAGACAGAAGCGAGCTCAATAAAGTCATGCTTGACAACGACGAAGTTCTGTCTCTGAATTTGTTTGATGATAAGCATTTTTCTGTATCTATTCTGGATTGACATGTTTGTTTGCTTGTTTAAATTTTGCATACCTTGAGCGCAACACACTAGATGTATACAGTAGGTACTTAAAAGCTGTGTAAGACTAAACTGTATGACTTGATCCACTTGCAATTGGCCTACGCTTTTTTAAAAGCGCCATGGGATCTTTAACGTGCTCGAGAAAACAAACTCGTACAGTTCTATTAAGTGACAAAGACATGAGAGATAATACAGATATATAATATAAACCTGACATTGCAACCCCGCCGACGTCTCAGACAGACGAAGAAAGGAAGACAAAGGAATTGACAAGACAAAAACTACAAATACCCTCCCACCCGCACAAACACCCACACACCACTTTCCTGTCCTAAACAGACTTTTGTTAATAGATCATGAAAAATACCAAATCATACACCACATAGCATCCATGTAATAACTCCTGAAAGCATCATGCTAAATGATAGCACAATGGACAACAGTTTTCGGACACAATGCACTTTTATCCAGTAATTCCTACCGACAAAGAAGGATGAAGACGTAGGACATATGCAGTACAACATTGTCAACATCTGCGGAGTGGAAGAGAGAGGAAATAAAATGCACATTACACCATTATAATCATGACTATGGGTGGGGCGGGGTCTTACGCCTTACAATGTTTCAGTATCAAAGAAAGAAGTTCAACCTCTTCAAGTTCGAATTTACAGTCAGCATTCAGATATCGTAGTAACATACTATATTGATACTCTGTTATTCATTGTTTGTACGCCATGTACACACTTCTTTCAAAATCTTCAGGCAAGAATTTGCAATAAACGTATCTATTTTAATCACTGGATTTTAAAGTTTTCACCATTCAATAATCCTACAAAATTCATCTGTGAAAGCTTCTACTGAGCAGCTGTGCGGCTAACCCGTATCAAAGCATCTTTCTGAACCATTCTCGCACGCAAACAGAAAACTGAACATACCGTGTCACAAAGAGACAATTAAGCAACTCGTCTTGTCGTACAAAAATGTACATCGCGGAACGTAAAGAATGGGATGACGCATGTGGAATACGTCACTGAGAATATATATTTTATTGCCTGCCGGTGATGATGATTTGGCCGGGGATCGAACATACCGAATGCAAAGCGAGCACTAGCTGCCCACTTAGCTATTGCACTGGTTAACAGGTACCAAAGTGGGAAACTCATCGAAAAGATGTACAAGCAAATACACTTACAAACACATCCAAAATAACACCTCCATACCCAGAAGAATGTGGTGCAAATAATTCACTGTGCAACGCTTGATACAAGGTACAAAGAATGGCACGTTTTAGCCACAAAGGTTTTTTAACAATAATAAATGACTTTGCTAAGTGTATTCTACATACAATATCATACAGGAATGAATGCATTGGAATAGTTTAACAGGGTTGATGACAAGTTAGTCTCTTACAGCAAGGTTTTAGTGGTATTACTATATACTAGCACTTGCTAGATCTCAAGATCACAAAAAGCAACATCCAGCACTATGAGCTCAGTATGTGTACTCAAACAATGGATAACATTGACCACAATAAAGTTCAAACCACTACAGGCCCAATCCTGGGTACCATCTTCTGTAGTCACTACTGGCTCGAGAAATGGTGCATAATCATTAGACTTTAATGTGCAACACTAATTAAAAGTCTTAATGTACAAGGTGCAATAAATAGTAAGTTTTAGCAAGAGATAATTTTTTTACAATTATAAATGGCTTGCCTTAATGTAACTAAGTGTTATTATACATAGTACAATATGCAAGAAATCATTGTAGAACATCAAACGTAAGTACATGTGTATTAAGTGTTGATAACAAGGTACAATGTAGAGTGCCTTACAGCAAGGTACATTCTCTATACACTTGCTAAATCTCAAATATAATAATAATAATATAATGTAATATCAAACACTATAAGCAGAGTACATGTACCCAAACAATGTATAACATTAATTCCGAATGAAGTCCAAGCAGACCCCAGCCACCATAGTTACTACACAGGCTCATTTTCTTGCTTGCTTAGTGGTAGCAAGCTTACGCAAAAGGGCTTAATTTTTGCACTAATTGGCGAACTCTCAGCTGCTGTTTGACAATTTGTTAGTGATCATTGTCTGATATCAAACCGAGTGGTTTTAGCACGTGGGCTTCGAGTTAATGTTGTGTATGATTGACACGACTGCATTCTTTGTCAGATGTTTAAAGGATCGCTCACGCTGCAAAGGACTGTCAATTAACATACCATGTGCATCATAACACGTCTTCATTACTTGAGAAATTTTGAAATATTTGATGAAAATAGTTCTTATCATTTTTATTGGCTTATTAATGTATGATTGACGCACTTTGAAGGTAGAGAGAGAATGTCTTTTTCATGAGAATCTACTGTTGGAAAGGCAACTGAAGGTGACTCAAACTTATTGCAGTACGACTGTCATACAGATCATCTAAAATCTACATGTATATATCAATGAAACAAAATTCTGTAACTCTTGTTAACTGTGCCATTTAGTCTCACATTTGCGTTGGAACGCAATAATGTCGAATCAAGCATTTCGGAAAAGTTTAAGTAGTAAAATGGCGTCAAATGGATCTTTGATAGCTTTGATCTTAAATATCAATAATGATGTAGTTTTGAGTTAAACGTAATGTACTTGTATGCATGTTGTACCTGCCAAAGCCAACATCTTGAGTATTGGTGTAAAAAAATTGCTCAAAGGTTGTCTTGATCAAACATAATTTCGCAAACTAGATCTGCATTTTGGTTGCTTAATTTGGGGCAACTTGCTTTCCTTCTTCAAATCTGTAAAATGTTACAGCTTCTCTTTTACAGGTTGTTAGTGATCACTGTCTGATATCAAACAAGTGATTTGAGCACGTGGGCTTCGAATCTGTATTGTGAAAGATTGACACGGCTGCATTCTTTGTCAGATGTTTAAAGGATTGCTCACGCTGCAAAGGACTGTCAATTAACATACCATGTGCATCATAACACGGCTTCATTACTTGAGGAATTTTTAAATGTTTGATGAAAATAGTTCTTATCATTTTTGTTGGATTATTAATGTATGATTGACGCACTTTGAAGGTAGAGAGATAATGTCTTTTTCATGAGAATCTACTGTTGGAAAGGTAACTGAAGGTGACTCAAACTTATTGCAGTACGACTGTCATACAGATCATCTAAAATCTACATGTATATATCAATAAAACAATATTCTGTAACTCTTGTTAACTGTGCCATTTAGTCTCACATTTGCGTTGGAACGCAATAATGTCGAATCAAGCATTTCGGAAACGTTTTAGTAGTAAAATGGCGTCAAATGGGTCATCTAGCAATCTTTGATAGCTTTGATCTTAAATATCAATAATAATGTAGTTTTGAGTTAAACGTAATGTACTTGTATACATGTTGTACCTGCCAAAGCCCACATCTTCAGTATTCGTGTAAAAATTGATCAAAGGTTGTCTTGATCAAACATAATTTCGCAAACTAGATCTGCATTTTGGTTGCTTAATTTGAGGCAACTTGCTTTCCTTCTTCAAATCTGTAAAATGTTACAGCTTCTCTTTTACAGGTTGTTAGTGATCACTGTCTGATATCAAACAAGTGATTTGAGGACGTGGGCTTCGAATCTGTATTGTGAATGATTGACACGGCTGCATTCTTTGTCAGATGTTTAAAGGATTGCTCTCGCTGCAAAGGACTGTCAATTAACATACCATGTGCATCATAACACGGCTTCATTACTTGAGGAATTTTTAAATGTTTGATGAAAATAGTTCTTATCATTTTTGTTGGATTATTAATGTATGATTGACGCACTTTGAAGGTAGAGAGATAATGTCTTTTTCATGAGAATCTACTGTTGGAAAGGTAACTGAAGGTGACTCAAACTTATTGCAGTACGACTGTCATACAGATAATCTAAAATCTACATGTATATATCAATAAAAACAAAATTCTGTAACTGTTGTTAACTGTGCCATTTAGTCTCACATTTGCGTTGGAACGCAATAATGTCGAATCAAGCATTTGGGAAAAGTTTAAGTAGTAAACTGGCGTCGAATGGGTCATCTAGCAATCTTTGATAGCTTTGATCTTAAATATCAATAATGATGTAGTTTTGAGTTAAACGTAATGTACTTGTGTACATGTTGTACCTGCCAAAGCCCACATCTTCAGTATTGGTGTAAAAATTGATTAAAGGTTGTCTTGATCAAACATAATTTCGCAAACTAGATCTGCATTTTGGTTGCTTAATTTGAGGCAACTGGCTTTCCTTCTTCAAATCTGTCAAATGTTACAGCTTCTCTTTTACAGGTTGTTAGTGATCACTGTCTGATATCAAACAAGTGGTTTGAGCACGTGGGCTTCGAATCCGTATTGTGAAAGATTGACACGGCTGCATTCTTTGTCAGATGCTTAAAGTATCACTCAAGCAGCAAAAGGACTGCCAATTAACATACCGTGCCCATCTTCGTGAACTATCATAATACGCTTTATTACTCAGGAAATTGTGAAATATTTGATGAAGGCAGTTATATTTTAGTGCCTTATAAATGTATGAATGACGCACTTTGAAGGTAGAGAGAGAATCTTTTTCACAATAATCTACCGTTGGAAAGACAACTGAAGGTGACTCAAACTTATTGCAGTACGACTGTCATACAGATCATCTCAACTCTATTTATCAATGAAATAAATTCATTTACAGTTACTGTAGTTAACTGTGCCATTTAGTCTCACATTTGCGTTGGAATGCAATGATGTCGAATCAAGAATTTGGGAAAAGTAAAATGGCGTCATATTAAACATCTAGCTATCTTTGATAGCTTGGAATTAAATATCAATAATGACATGTTGTTTGTGACCGTTGTCTGATGTAAAACCGAGTGGTGTAACCACATGGGCTTCGAGTCAGTTCTGTATTAAATGTGAATGATTGACACGGCTGCATTCTTTGTCAGATGCTTGAAGGATCACTCACGCATCCGAAGGACTGTCAATTAACATACCATGCCCATCTTCCTGAACCATCAAAATACGATTTATTACTTTAGGAATTTTGGAATATTTGACGAAGACAGTTATCCTTTTTAGTGGCTTATTAATGTGTGATTGACGCACTTTAAGCTAGAAAGAGACACGGCACGAAAAGTGATATTTACGCACGCTTAAACACAGCGTAAAGGCCGCGTTTCTCCCACTTCCGCACCTTTACGACCCCTAAACGCGAACGTAAAGATTGCCTTAACGTGGACTTTCCGGAAGTTCGGAAAGGGCATATATTTTCCCACTTTCACGGTGCCTTTCCGCGACTTTCAGATACTTAAAGGCGTAGTTAAGCAAATCTTTCCGTGCCCTTTACCGCGAATCCTTCACGGAAAGCATGTGTTTATTCTGGCCTTTCCGTAATCTTTTGGGTACCTTTAACATTTCTTTACGTCATACATTTTACGTCGGAACCTGCACGGAAAGCATGCGTTTACTGTAGCCTTTCCGTAGTCTATTGGGGGTCTTTAAAACCTCTTTCCGTCATGGTTTTCGGGTTTTGCTGTACGCTTAAAGGTGTCGTAAAGTATCCTTAACGTGTGCGTAATATTGACGTTTATTTTGCTTTATTTGTGCGTTTATTTGCCGTTAATGAACAGTAAATTTCTGTGCCATAGGTAGCCTTTCCTGCCTTGGTAGACTGGCTGGATCGGGCCGTCGGTAGCCTGGATGCCATAGCAAAATATACCCAAAGTTCTAGTGTGCCTTTCATCCAGGCTAGGCCGTCGGGGAAGTTGATGACCGAGCGGCAAACTCCACTCGGAGTTCTTAACTCCCCCGTAGCGCTCATGTAGATTGGCGGGCATACTGCCATGTTCCGCCGACGGGGACTGGCTGAGGGCCCGATCCAGACTGGCTACCAGGGCAGGTTTTCCTTTGTTGTATCCGAGTACACAGCCACTATTCCAATTCCAGTGTCCATTTTCCCGCTATTCCATGTGATGTGGTCACCGCAAGAGTAATAATCCGCTGACTTGTTCCCGTGATGGTCAGGTCGCGCTCTTGCTCAACTTCTAAATCTGTGCTGCTCCCGGTTAGGACGAAACAATACGGCCGTGATCTTCCCCTTCTGCGACGTGACATGTTCAATATCTCCAATCTACGCCATTCCACAGACTTGTACAGAATGGTATAGATTTGTCTTAGTCCCGTCGTGGCCACTTCTGGTGATAAAAGCAATGTCTCGGACACAACTTGCGGGTTCAAACGAGTCCAAGCCTCCATAGAGTAGACGCACAGCAAAATGACTACTGGTATATTCAGTAGATTTGAAAAACCCACTCTTGTCTATCATTGGGTAAAGGCCTGTCACATGACCTCCTCCTGGCAGAAAGGGCGGAGATTCCCCAAACGGTCTTGTCATATGAATGGCGTTCGGGCTTGTTCACGGGTTGGTAATGAATAAATTCACATTTGGAAAACAAAAAGGAACCTCGTTGCCTGAACACAACAAATAGGCTAAAGAAACTAGAAATACTAGTAATGCCTGTGCATCCATGATTTTTTAACCGTTGAACTCTTGCTGCAAAGAATATTCGGCATTTATAAAAAGAAAGAAAACTTTGCGGCGGAAAAAATAAAAGTAGGTTTATAACAAAGCATACAAGGAAAGGGGGAAAGTTGGCGGAAAGCTTGCATAAAAGAAGCAGTGAAAGAAACCGGAAGTTTTGGGAGAGCGACGTATATAAACAAATAAAAATAGTCTACAGTACATACAGCGCCCTACGTACTGGCACGGACCGTAGTAAATTTCTGGTAGGTTGTTGACTCAGAAATGATTGAGCGATTCTTTCGTTATCAGCCAGGAACTGATAACGAAAGAATCGCTCAATCTAAGGGGGTTCAATCAAACGAATAACTAAAGATGAACGTCAGTAAAGTAGTCTACAGTTACACAGTATCATGGTCTATCTAGGTTTAAAAATGTTTTATCTGTCTCGAGTTAAAATGTTCCATGAGTTGTGTTCTAAATGTTCAGAAACTCAGTAAATGCAGTGCCGTACGTATTGGCACTGACCGTAGTAAAGTTCGGGAGGTTCACTGAGAAGTTATGAGTTTCTGGTTAAACTAAAACTAAATAGTCCACAGTTACCCAGTATTATGGTCTATCTCGGTTTGAAAAATGGTTTATCTGTCTCGAGTTAAACATATTCTATGAGTTCGAAATGTTCAGGAACTCAGTACATACAGCGTCGCACGTATATGACACGGACCGTAGTAAACTTCTGGTAGGTTGTTGACTGAGAAATTATGGGGTCCTGGCTGATAACGAAAGAATCGTTTAATCTAAAGGAAAACTAAAATAGTCCACAGTTACCCAGTATCATGGTGTATCTCGGTTTGAAAAATGGTTTATCTGTCTCGAGTTAAACATATTCCATGAGTTCGAAATGTACAGGAAGTCAGTACATACAGCGCCGCACGTATTGACACGGACCGTAGTAAACTTCTGGTAGGTTGTTGACTGAGAAATTATGGGGTCCTGGCTGATAACGAAAGAATCGTTTAATCTAAAGGAAAACTAAAATAGTCCGCAGTTACCCAGTATCATGGTGTATCTCGGTTTGAAAAATGGTTTATCTGTCTCGAGTTAAACATATTCCATGAGTTCGAAATGTACAGGAAGTCAGTACATACAGCGCCGCACGTATTGACACGGACCGTAGTAAACTTCTGGTAGGTTGTTGACTGAGAAATTATGGGGTCCTGGCTGATAACGAAAGAATCGTTTAATCTAAAGGAAAACTAAAATAGTCCACAGTTACCCAGTATCATGGTGTATCTCGGTTTGAAAAATGGTTTATCTGTCTCGAGTTAAACATATTCCATGAGTTCGAAATGTACAGGAAGTCAGTACATACAGCGCCGCACGTATTGACACGGACCGTACTAAACTACGGGTAGGTTGTTGACTGAGAAATAATGGGGTTCTGGCTGATAACGAAAGAATCGTTTAATCTAAAGGAAAACTAAAATAGTCCACAGTTAACCAGTATCATGGTGTATCTCGGTTTGAAAAATGGTTTATCTGTCTCTAGTTAAACATTTTCTATGAGTTCAAAATGTACACGAAGTCAGTACATACAGCGCCGCACGTATTGACACGGACCGTAGTAAACTTCTGGTAGGTTGTTGACTGAGAAATTTATTTATTTATTTATGAAGATTTACCACATTTGTGGAAGGATTGACATAACAGGTGACTACCACCTTTTCAAAGATGTCAACCCCGAGACCAGGCTGTAAGGTTTGAACCACTCACACCGGGAAGGTCCCCTACTCTTTTCGATAAGTGCGGTGGGTTCTTTAACGTGCGTGGGGTGTGACTCTCCCAAACACGGGACCTCCATTTTACGTCCTATCCGAGGGACGTCCCTAGCCAAAGCTAGGTACTCATTTTCACCTGAGTGAAGTGAGGAAAGTCGTGTAAAGTACCTTTCCCAAGGGTACAACGTCGGGGCGCATGTTCGGACTTGTTCGGGTACGACCCGGAATCGAACCCGGGTCTCCCCGCTTCGTAGTCCAGTGATGTACCACTACACCACACGACGCCAAATTATGGGGTCCTGGCTGATAACGAAAGAATCGTTTAATCTAAAGGAAAACTAAAATGGTCCACAGTTACCCAGTATCATGGTGTATCTCGGTTTGAAAAATGGTTTATCTGTCTCGAGTTAAACATAATCTATGAGTTCTAAACGTTCCGGAACTCAGTACATACAGCGCCGAACGAATTGACACGGTATTCCTGTAGCTTAACGACGCCTATACTATTTACGTCGGAAAGCTTGTTTATAGAACGAGGAAAGGAACCGTAATACAAAGGACTACTAGTATGTTTTTGGAAAGCCAATATAATTTTATAGAAAGGACTAATAATATGTTGTCGCATTTTCCGCTCTCAAATAAGTGTGAAAAGCATGGCGATTGCTACAATTTAGGGAAAACTTTACGACGGTACTAAGGAAAAGACAAAGAAACGCAACATTTCCTGCAGCTTATATAACGACGCCTATACTGTATAGGGGGAGATGTCTCTCGGTCGGCGGAAAGCTTGTTTATAGAAGGAGGAAAGGAACCGTATGTGTTTTTGGAAAGCCAGACATAAATATATAGAAATGACTAGGCATAATAATGTTAGATTTTGCGGCGATTCAGCGAGAAATCATGGAAGATATCTAATATTTCAGGTAAAACCAAATATGAAAAAGCATATGAAATGCTTGTGTTCAGTCGCGCGAGGTTGGTAAGGACTTTACTCATAATAATCAAAAAGATCATATGGCTTTGAGATGCCTCTAGTTAACTCATTATAATAATTACCGCAATGCTTTCTTTACATTACATTTAAGTCCATGTAAAGCTTACAGAAAGAAACATGTTATATTAACGTGACATTTACACATGTGGAAAGGTTACGGAAAGGCCATATTTCCCTTTCGGTTGCCTTTCCGATGTCGTAAAGGCTGCTTAAATATTTCACCGCCTTTAATACCTCTTAACGCAGTTCGTAAAGTTGGCTTAAATATGTGTTTTCGTGCTGTGAGAATATCTGTTTCATAAGTATATCTGTAGGAAAGACAACTGAAGGTGACTCAAACTTATTGACGTACATGTATATCGCAGGTATATAGATCATCTAAAATTTCTACATTAGTGAGTGAAACAAAATTCAGTTGAATTTTTGATGTGCCATTTAGTCTCACATTTGCAATGATGTCAAATTAATTACATGTATTACTAGGGTAAATCGTGGTCAGGCGTCCGTTCGTCCTTAACGAGGCTTGCAGAAACTTATGAAGTTAAGCATGCGGTCACAGATGTGCTTGTACCCCCCGCGAATGTTCTTGTTCATAACGCCGTATATGATCGGGTTCAGGACGCCGTTTAACAAGACTAGCAGCTGCCCAAAAGCGAAAGCTTCGGCTGGTACCTTGCTGGAGAAAATCACCATCACGGTTATAGGCGTATTGCAAAGCGTGTATGCAGCAAACAGGGACATCATCATTTTGGTAATCTGCCTTTCAGCGGGACTCTTGTGGTTTTGTGAACTGTTTCTCGGGACAACATGAGCTCGCTGTGGTCCTTTATTTGTAACAGCCTGATCTGACACTATGATGGCAGTTGGGACGATTTTATCCGCCTCATTGCCTTTCCGTTCCTCGTTACTTGGGAAGGAGGTTTTACCCTGTTGTTTACCTGTACCAGATGCTGAAGCAACATGCACGATAGTAACTTTTGGTTTACCTGGGTTGACAACTGGCTCATCGTCACTGGATTTTTCGTCCCCCACCCACACTACACCCTCCAGGTTTCTAATCGGCGCTGCCACCTTGTCGGTTTTTGCACTCGTGGAAGGGATGGCTACACCGCGACCCCCCGACTTCGAGAACTGAACTGCCAAATGGTTTGTGGGGCCACGTGCATGACCCTGGACACGATTCTTACTCTTCCTCACGTGGTTTTGAATGAGGATGTAAGAGGCAAGGGCAGCGATGTACGGGAATATGAAGTTTAAAATTGCCGGGGGAACCTTTGCCCAGAGTTTGTCAGAATTTCCCGTCCCGCACAGTTTCAGCTTTGGGTCCACCTTAATTTCCTCAACAACATGAAGAGGCAAGAAGGAAGCAATGGGGACCGACCATGTGAGCAAGAGCATGATGGTGAGGGCTTGCTTGGACTTCAAACGCATGCTGTTGGTACAGATCGTGAAATACCTTTGAAGAGCGATACACCACATGTGCCATAAGGACACCCCCAATAGCACGGGAGAGGTATAGGCTATCAACCAGCATAGGGCTGGTGGAGGATCCCAAAGGGGGTTTAGAATCTGATGGATCCAAAAGGGGGAATAAAAGATGCTGAAGAGGATGTCTGTGCAACTGAGGCTGACCAGAGGCACGTTGACCAGTTTTCGTAGGTTCGGGCGTGTGCAGATGGCTAGGATGGTGAGGAGGCCACCGGCAACAGTTGCTACGAAGACGACTGTAGGTCACAAATTGTGAATAGTTCCCCCATCAGTTTATGAACAAAAACTGCTGAACAAGACATTTTTAGCTTTCTTTTTCACAGTATTTGACACTGTTTCGTTCAGTATCTCATTACTCGTGTTTTTCCTCCGAGTTTCCTCTGAGATAAAAATTAAAGGATACCAAGAGAAAAAAAAAGAATGGAGAGCAGAGACAACTAAATGTTAGATGTTACAAGAAAACAGAAGGCAAAGATATGAACTTACTTCCGTTGACCACAACCAGAATGTACTCCCCAGCAGTTGCCATGACAAAGATTGTTTCCTTCAACCTTCGTGGTTCATCAGTTCTGACTCTCTCAAAACAGCCCTACATCATGTCGCACCTGGAAATTAGAAAAATAGTTTTACTTCTCGAGAAAGGACTACATGTGCACCACTCCCGTCACTGTAGAGATACTGGAAAGATACATGCAATTGTATGCATGGATACCAAACTATCCTTTATTCTCTTAACATGAAAATAAAAAAGAGTAAGTATTTGTTGCTTACTACGACTGCTTAAACATTGTACATTGTATAATAAGTGCAAATTCAAGCAAAAGAGGAGATATACCATAAACAGAGTTACCCACCTGTAACAGTGTCAAAAACTGTTGGTTCGAAACACAAATCTTCAAAAGGTTGGAACGGGCACCGGAGCTGTCAATAGAAATGCTCCGTGCGCAGAGTTGCACAGAGTGAGTGATCTTCTGGGCATCTAGAGACCATATATAGACTGATGAATGATTGCCCAAGGACATTATTTGCGTCGTATACCCAACCGAAAAGGTTGTAATAAACGCATTCCAAACAACAGGAATACGTCACCAACTTGGAATGCTCTGCTACCACATACATGACTATCAAAAGATATCCCTCTCTGATACTCTCCGTTAGGAAATAGTTGAGTAAGACATGAGATATGTACACAGAAATTGGATGATATTTGAAATAAAACCTCAATGGACTTAAATTTTGGCTAAGTTTATAATTGTTATGTTAGAGCTACACCAAGACAGCTATAAAGACAACCCCGAAACAGGTGGTTGTAGATTACATGTATGCTAAAAGATACGTTTTAGCAACAAGTATTTTTAACAATAATACAATGACTTGAGTTACTGTATTCAACATATAATACACAGAAACGTATTCAGAAGTACATTACGACGTGCAGAGTATACAATAAATTAAAAGTTGATAACAAGTCAGCATATTTTTAACAATAATAAATGGCCACATGCAATGTAAATTAATACAGGAAAGCTTTGATTCAGAAGTATAATATTTATACAGTACATTGAGTTTAAAATGTTGATAAAATGTCTAAACAGCAAGAGTGTCTAAACAGCAAGTTAGGAGCAAAGAATTGATACTAGTACATGTATAAACGTGCTAGATATCGGGATCATAAAAAGCAACTTCAATCATTGTGAGTTGAATGAATATATTCAAACAACACATAACATTAAGCTAAATATGCAAGCCCTAGCCTGGGTTCCATCCTCTCTAGTTACTCGAGTAATGCTGCATACACATTAGAGTTTATTGTGCAACTTACACTTGACACAAGGTACAAAGAATAGCTAGTTATAGCAACAGGTATTTCTTACAATTAAGCTGACTAAGTGTAATCTACATAAAATATACAATAAAACATAATGTTGAAGAACATCCAAAGCTTAAAAGTGTTGATAACAAGGTAGAGTGTCTAACAGCAAAGTAGGAGCATCTTCTGATCTCAGGATCACAAAATGCAACTTTAAGCACTGTGAGCTCAATGAGTGTATCCAAACAAAGTACACATGTATAACTTTGATCACAACGAAGTTCCAGCCAAGCCCTAGTCACATTTACTGCTCATGCTCTTCCAGCTCATCATTAGGTCCTTTTTGATAGGTTGATCAATTTGATGAAAGCTTGTTTTGATTACAGTTAATATGATTTTCGAAACACTATAATAATATAATAATGATTCTGCATTTTGGCTGTTTGATTTAGGGCCACTGGCTTCATCCAAACAAGGTCTCATCATCTCTTTGACAAGTTGTTGGTGACCATTGTCTGATATTAAACTGGGTGGCGTAACCACATGGGCTTCGAGTTAGTTCAGTATAATTGTGAATGATTGACACGGCTGCATTTTTTGTCAGATACTTAAATGATCCCTGGAGTGGCATAACATACCATGTACATCTTCATAAACCATCATAATTTGACTTCATTATAATATTACTCTAGGAACTTTAAAATATTTGAAGACTGTGTTTTCAGTGGTTGACTTAATGTATGAGTAACGCACTTTGAAGGTAGAGAGACCCAGGCCTTTTCATAAAATTGTACCATAATTTGGAAAGACAACCGAACACACTAATATTGAAGTACGACTATCATACATAACGATTCTAAAATTTAAACCGTAACGTGAGTGAAACAAAATTTAGTAATTGAATTTCCATTTAGTCTTACCTTTGCATTAGGTGTTGAGCCAAGCATTTGGGAAATTACATGTACCTAAAATGGTGACCTCTTCACATGAAATATTTTAGATTTGCAATCTCTGATCTCAAACATCAGTAATCAATAATGATATAATTTTGAGTTAACGCATCACAAAATTGGTGTAAACATTTTATCAATTTATCTTGATCAAACGTGATTTTGAAAACTAGCTCTGCATTTTGGTTGGCTGATTTAGGGCTACTGGCTTTCCTATTTCTAATTGACAGGTTTTTATTTAGTGAGCATTGTCTGGTATTAAACCGAGTGGCGTAACCACGTGGGCTTCCAGTCTAATAGTGAATGATTGACACGGCTGCATTCTTTGCCAGATGCTTAAACTATCATGCAGGTAGCCACACAGGAGTGGCAATTAACATACCACTCGTCACATAGTGAACCATCATAATACGACAGTCCATCATTCGAGGAACTTTGAATATTTGAAGACTGTGTTTTAGACGATGGTTTAATGTATAAGTGACGCACTTTGAGGTAGAAAGAAATAACTTTTCATAAGAACCTATCATGATTGGGAAGGCAGTTAAAGGCGAATGAAACTAATTTAAGTACAAGACTAGTATAGATAGTCTGAAATTTATGTCAGTAATACAAAATTCAGTCGTTTAATGTGCCATAATTTAGTCTGAGTGCAGCACGTAGGAAAATACCTAAAATTGTTTGAAAAAGCCAATTCTTTTTGAAATCTTAATTTTCTCTTTTGACCTACACTATTGTTTTTGACAAGTGTAATGATTTTTCAAAAGGTGAAAGCCAAACGTCGAACTTGATCCTGTATATCTAGGGCTCGAGGCTCATGTTATGAAGTCGAGCATGCGGTCACAGATATGCTTGTACCCCCGGCGAATGTTCTTGTTCATAACGCCGTATATGATCGGGTTGAGGACGCCGTTTAACGAGACTAGCAGCTGTCCAACAGTGAAGGCTTCGGCTGGAACTTTACCGGAGAAAATTACCATCATGGTTATAGGCATATTGCAAAGTGTGAATGCAGCAAACAGGGACATCATCATTTTGGTGATCTGTCTTTCAGCGGCGCTATTGTACTTTTGAGCACCATAGCTCGGGGCAACGTGAGCTCGCTGTGGTCCTTTATGTGTACCTGCCTGATCTGACACTATGGTGGCAGTTGGGATGACGTCTTTGTTTTTATCTGGCTCGTTGCCTTTTGGTTCCTCGTCCCCAAGTAAGGATTTTTTGCCCTGTTGTTTACCTGTGCCAGGTGCTGAAGCAACATGCACGATAGTAACTTTGGGTTTACCTGGCTTGACAACTGGCTCACTTGATGAGGAATTCTCTTCCCCCACCCACACTACACCCTCCAGGTTTCTAACCGGTTTTGTCACCTTGTTGGTTTCCGTGCTCGTGGAAGGGATGGCTACACCACGACCCCCCGACTTCGAGTACTGCACTGCCAAATGGTTTGTGGGGCCCTTTGTATAACCTTGGACACGATTCTTACTCTTCCTCACGTGGTTTTGGATGAGGATGTAAGAGGCAAGGGCAGCGATATACGGGAATACCATGTTAAGAATGGTAGGGGGAACCTTTGCCCAGAGATTGTCAGAATTTCCTGCCGCGCACCGTTTCAGCTTCGGGTCCACCTTAACTTCCTCAACGATGTAAATAGGCAAAAAGGAAAGGCTGGGGACCAACCATGTGAGCACGAGCATGATAGCTAGGGCTTGCTTGGACTTCAGACGTATACTGGTGGTACAGATCTTGAAATACCTTTGAAGAGCAATACACAACATGTGCCATAAGGACGCCCCCAACAGCACGGGGGAGCTATAGCCTATCAGCCAACACAGGGCTGGCGGAGGCTCCCAAAGGGGGTTTAGAATCTGCTGGATCCAAAAGGGTGAAAATATGGAGTTGAAGAGGATGTCTGTGCAACTGAGGCTGACCAGAGGCACGTTGACCAGTTTTCGTAGGTCCGGGCGTGTGCAGATGGCTAGTATGGTGAGGAGGCCACCGGCAATAGTCGCCACAATGGCAACTGTATGTCACAATGAATAGTTTCCCCCATCAGTTTATGAACAAAAACTACTAAACAGGGCATTTTTAGCTTTTCACTACACAGAGAAACGTTTTGTTAGAGTTACAACTGACAAAAGTAATTGGTAACTGTTTCATTTAGGCTGTATTTGTGACACTCTAACTCTTACGTTCAGTATTACGTAAATCTCCTTGCCTTGTGCTTTTCCTCCGAGTTTCAACCAAGATATTAAAGAGAAACGAAATAAATGGAAAAGAGCAGCAACTAGATGAACTTACAAGATGTTACAAGAAAACAGAAGGCAAACACATGAACTTACTTCCGTTGACCACAACCAGAATGTACTCCCCAGCAGTTGCCATGACAAAGATTGGTAGCCGTCAACCTTCACTGTCCATCAGTTCCGACTCTCTCAAATCAGTTCAGTCTGACATCACGAGTTTCTGCACGGGAACCTGAAAATCAGGAAAATTGTTCCATTGGCAAAGCACCCTGAGTGTAGCACTCCCATCACTGTAGAGATACTGGGGAGCTCAAAATGTATGGACATATGGAGCTTAAAATGTGTTCAGAACATCATGGTGCTTATCATACATTTCATGGTTTGTCTAGTTACATAAAGAATACAAATATTCTGAACATGGAAAGTTTATTAAACAGTAACTGTTACTTATTATTAATATGTACATGGAAAGAGCAGAAGCAAAAGAGGAGAATATATCACAGAGTCACCCACCTGTCAGTGTTGATACCCGTCCGTTGAAAAACGTTGATACTAGTAGAACGTTGGAAAGTGTTGTCAGCAGAAGCACTGTCTTCCAGTGCACTGAGTGATTTTCTGGGCGTCCAGAGATCATATATTATAGACTGATGAATGTACGCATCATAGAATATGTTTATGAATGGTTTGTCCAACACAGTACTGCATTTTAAAGTTAATGAGAACACATTCCAAACAACATGAATACCTCTGGGTCACTAGCTTGGAATGTCCGGGACGTCACTACATACCAGAGGAGTTTTCTGACCTCTCAATTTAATATCACTCTTCAGGAAACTGTTTCCGGTAAAGACTCTATGGACTTTCACGACAAAGTAAACTTCTCTTTACAAACAGGGTCCCCATGAAGTTGACTTGACTGTTTTTTCATGTTCCCCGCTTAGTGTTCAGCCTGATGATATCGGAGCTCATATGAACGCTGGGAGAGCCCACAAAAATCTGGAGCGCTTTAAGATGGGCATACAATCTCCTTATATTTTCTTGTGAGAACAGAGTGAATATAAACTGTAGTACTGCATGCGTAAATGTTTATCTCTTTCTCTCTGACAGAGAATAACAGAACTCCTTTGATAGAGAGAAAGAGAGAGAGAGAGAGAGAGAGAGAGAAAAGGAGAGAGAGGAATCCATGTTCTTCTGGCTCCAGTTCATTCCTGTACAGTGACTATTGTATAACTTGACATGATGTTTCAAGAGTTACTAAGGAGAGAAAGATTGTCATTACCAACCTTACTGCTCTACTTCAGTTTCATGTAATTATCAGCGTGTCTGCTTTTCTTCTGAGCCTGAATTTTAACCTTAACAATTTGAAACAAGTAATACACTGATTTAAAAAAGTTTTTTTTTATCATATCAATTTACTTCAGCACACCAATGTTAGAAATTGAATGTATGGTACCTTTACCAACGGTAACTCTAAAAAATACCTAGTCAACAGTGCACCCATCAGTCAAAAATTACATGTGCACCCAGTATTTCGAGCCATGTATTGAATAGTGGTGACAAAAGTGCCAAACTGATGCCACCAATTGAACATTTTTTCACATGTCTAAAATGTATACTTTTGGCTCCTGTTCTACCATCTAATGCCGAAATAACCTCAAATTTGCAGTTTCAACAAGGGGTAGACAAACTTCAAACTAACTCCATTGGTTCCCTTTTTGGCATGTCTGAATATACACTTTTGGCCTAATTGTAGTAATTTTTTACATCAAATCTCGCCAAACGAAAATGCTTACAATCTGCAAAAATGTGCTCTTTTTTTAAGAAAACAAAGTAAAGTACAGTAATGATGTTAGAGCAAAATTACTTAATAGATTTACCCTGGGCGTAGATATACCTAGGTGTATAAGTACTTGTATGGTTAAATTGTAGCTATGCCTACTTCAAATGGAAACAATTTCACACCCTCTCAAAAGGGCAAGGAATATATTAATTTGTTTTATTTCTGTTTCTGTGTACCTTCGACATGGATATAGATATACCTTCGTATAAGTATACTGTTAGTTAAATTGTGTTTTCAACACATTCAAAATTTGATACAGTTTCATAACCCTTCAAAACCTTTACTCGCAACATAGCTTTCCTACAAATACTTGTAGACAAACATGTTTAATTAAGTGATATTAGATCACATTGGATATTAATTTTCTTACCTTTCATATAGTGACACATTGTGACCCTAAATATGTTGATAGACTACTAAGAAGACAACTCAAATCTTTGTATATCCAAACATCTTCATAATTTGTTAATTGATAGTTGCAAGTTGACATTTTATGTAAAATGTAAAACCATGTACAACATAGAAAAGTACAATGAAATCTTGCAGGCTTTGTACTGCACTTTTCTATCAGTTAAAAAGGCTGCTGATGAAAAGAATTCCTTACATGTGATAGAATATGTATAGTAGTACAAAAGCTGAGAAAGATGAAATACACACATGTACATTCTTCTCAAACTGTTCATTTTATGGGAACACCCGAAACGAGTTAGCAATTCAAACCACTAAATCTTATGGGCAAAGAAAAAGTCTCCTTTTAAACATCCAGAACCTACACCCTATAAACAAAGTGTGTCATTACATCTATCAATGCTTGCACAGAAGAAGTTAGTCCCTCCAGACAATGCATTAGACAATTATTGTCGGCCTTTCTAGTGGTTGATTTTGTTATCTCTGCACGACTGATTTAGCCTGGGTGCCATCCGAATTTGTAACGGCTACCCGGTACCCAGGCTACGACTGATTCTCTTTTGTTAATGTACCATACATATTGTACTATCAAATGATGCCGTATAAGCCCACACGGGCTGGTTGCGGGAAGCCTCGTTCATTCATTGTAACGCGTATATTGTCAAAATTGTTGTCTTTGAGATGACATCCACCAATCTTAGTGCACTAAGTGGTTCTCCAGATGTTCAGGTCTAAACCTGTACCTAAATAAGTCAGTGAAGGTTAGAAATCCATTTAATAAGATACAACAAAAAAGGTAGTGGATGATACTTGAAACATCTGACATGTGAAGGTTAGTCATCAATGTAATATAAGATACATCCAAAAGCAACGTTTGGCCCATGTTTTGGATTGTGCTTTGGAATGTCACACCCGAATTAACGTTGGCTTCATAGAGATTCTTTATTGACACAACAAATAGTAGCAAGAAGCAGAACTCCAGTCAGAAGCTCTAAAGAAGGTGCCTGAAAGAGTTCGAAACGCAAGCAAGGTGTCTGGTCGTGTAAAAATAATCCTAATGGCCAGTCATTATATAATGGCTATGTTGACCAAGTTATGTTAGTGTAACATCAACTGTAGTTCTAAAATAATTATGCACCGTAGTGTTTTTTGGTGAGGGGAACAATGAAACCACCAACATGAAAACTCCACAGCACTCCAAACCCATAAAGATACACCTAGTAGTAACGGCAATGATAAGAATCGTGACCTTGTCGAAAAAAAACTCGTGTAACACGTGTAATCGGTGTCGTATAAGCCCACACGGGCTGGGCGCGGGATAGCGCAGGACACGGAAATAAAGTATCATTCATTCATTCATTCATTCATTCATTCATTCATTCATTCATTCATTCATTCATTCATTCATTCATTCATTCTTTCATTCATTCATTCATTCATTCATATAGACAGTAGCACATTTCTGACAACTCAAACTCATACATGACGAAGGTCTAAAGTCATCGACCTCTTGTTAACATATATGTAGACTCATGGGTAGCAGATAAGTTTCCCCAGGCTGTGATAGCCTTGTTCGTTTCTACTCCCAGTATCCCCAAACCTGAGCTGGGTGACCGGCAGGTCGTTCTTGTATGACAGGAACCCGGAATCCTCACGCCATGTTTCATCATTAGTGTCGCAGTAGCAACGACCAGAGCATGAGCCTGTTATGAAGGGGGGGGGGGATAAAAAGCTTGAATTTGTTACTGCAAGATTTTGGAACAGACAAAGGTAACATGAGAAAACTGCATTGCTTACATATTACAGGTTGAAGTTATATATAAGTCAAAATTACCTGTTAGTCCACAGGCACATTTCCCACTCCCAGGACTGGCACCTCCCCAATAGTCAGCCTGGCGACCGTCCCAAGTCACCCACCAAGCGTAGATTTTGGGCGTGTTGTCCCAGATCATTGATGCATAGCATTGATACTGGAAATATGTGTGCAGTTACTAGTTGTACAGTACCATCTTGATCACTTAATAAATACAATATCGCAGTATAATTCCTATTGCAATATATATATATATATATATGATTTGATGGCTTTATTGGGAAATAGGGTTTTGTGTTTTTTTCACCAAAAACACAATGTCTCACAGTAATGCATTTGTTGCTTTACAGAATAAGTCGAGAAGTTTTGAATAGATCTGTAAGATACTATGTGGGCGAGTAGCGGTTGTTGAAACGATGGTCAAGATTCAAATACCCCTGATGTTTTCCAACAGTACTGCAATGTACTTTGTATGTATATGTTTTTGTATGTGTAAAACATAATTCGAGAAGATGTGAATGGTTATGTATGGTATTCAGTGGATCTGTAGGGACTAAAACAGTAAGATCAAGTTGTATAATAGGCCTTCTGGCTGGTACCTACGGTACTGCAGAGCAGCTTTAAAGGTTGTGGACATTTTTCATAACTAACAAGAGTTCTGAGATCTCATAACTCCATGAAATATGGTGTTGCTTTGCCATACTTCATTTCAACTTGTCCTCATTAAATATGCAAATGACCTCTACATTAACATAATATATACATAGTGGTGCTAACCTTTAAGTAACGAGGTATAAAATTCCCATCATTCACCATCATTCACATTAATTATGCAAATTAGGTCTCATTTGCATAATTGATATCTGTTGATGTTCCGCCTTCCACAGATTAAATAGATATAAATGTATAGCAATACCATTATATAGCACACTGTAATTATAGAATTTAATCATTAATTATACAAATTAGGTCCTCATTTGCATAATTTACATTTAATTATGTACAACTCTCTCACACCAAAAATGATGAAAATACAACGTTTCAATCTGGACTGATTGGCTTTGAAAGTTTTTACCAG